AGAGCAAGGAGGCTGAAGAGCAGCCTGTATATCTGCACACATTGCTGGGTTGATCTAAAAAAAGACATTCTATGGGGATGTATTTTCATTCCAGAGCAACACAGAACTGCTTATTCACATTTCACATACATTTGAAGATATTAGCTATCTCAATTTATCTGTTGTTTAGTTAACAGTCTGAAATGTTAATTTTGCCTACTAAATCTTTAAAACCTTGGGAAGTTGACAGGTCTTAATACAGCTGAAGATTCAAGGCAATAACAATAAGATACCAGTTGTCCTTTTCTACTGAGGTACAACTAGTACTGATTGCCCCTTTTATTTCAGCAATTGTCTTTAAGAACTAGTTGTCATAATGATGTCTTAATTGAAGCGTTTAGGAGGGAGAAAAGGAGAAAGATTTTTTTGGATCAATCTTGTCAGAAACATGCAAGTATTTTGTGGATACAGCAGTTTAAAGAAAAAAAAAAAGTTATTTCAGCAAAGAAAAGGTAAAAACAGCTGCAAGTCCTGCCAGCCAGTCACCAGGTGTATCACAGTATCACAGTATGCTAGAGATTGGAAGGGACCTCAAAAGATCATCTAGTCCAATCCCCCTGCCAGAGCAGGAACACCTAGATAATGTTACACAGGAATGTGTCCAGGCGAGTTTTGAATGTCTCCAGGGAAGGAGACTCCACAACCTCCCTGGGCAGCCTGTTCCATTGTTCTGTCACCCTCACTGAGAAGAAGTTTCTTCTCAAGTTTAAGTGGAACCTCTTGTGTTCCAGTTTGTACCCATAAAACTTCCAACTCTCTTTCTGTCTAAATTTGTGAGAAAAACTTTGTACATAACCGTATCTGTGAAGAGTCCATATAGTGCAAGAATTCTCTCAGTAGCAGGAACATTCCCAATAGTTTTAGTCATTTAAGCAGTGAAGGTCCTAGCTGAACCACTTGCTAATTAGTCTAATTAATTACACAACTTCATGTTTGTTGAACCACCAAACTTAAAATAGAGAGCTTTTCCTCCCTGTTTCTTACACCAGTGGAAGGGGGAGAGGATAAACATCCATATAGTGACAACAGCTCCCAAACTGCAATGACAGTCTTCATCTCTGCTTAATTCCTCGCCCGTGAAATAAAATGAACCATAACAAATACCCATCCTTTGATCTTTATTTCTAGAGAGATATATTTCTCTCAAAGGAAAGCCTTTTGTAAGCCAGAGAGAGTGCTCTGGAGATGAGAGTGATCAACTGGCAGTGACAGCGAGCTGAGAGCCTCATAGCTAAGATCGATAATTCATGTTATGTTTTCGGTTTCAGGCCTTTGCCTCCCACTCACATCCCAATCAGCACCAAAACAGTTGTTCTGTTTAGTCAAAGAGCTTCCAAACCATTCAATAGCACTTTTTTTTCTTTCCTTTTAAACTTATCTTTAAAGAACAGTTCTCAACAGCCTGTAGCATTAAAATAAAGCACTACCACTTGTAAGCATTTTATATACAACTTTGTTTCCCAGATTGCTGCCTAGGAATATCTTGCCATCTGCTGGAAATGTGCAGATATACATCCTTTAATACATACAGGCTTCAAAGTTACTGTCAGAGACAACGGTAGCATGAAAAATGAAGGAGGCATTAAGTCTGGAAGCCAATACTCTGCATGTTTAGAACTTTTACTTCAATAAAGAGGTAACATCAGAATACCAGCAGCAGTTGAAATACCAACATTAGCTTCCTCAGCAAACCAGTATTCTTGCTCCACTGCTGCTCTAAATCTGTGGCACAACTGAATGCTGAGGTTGAATGTAGTATTACCTGTGTGAAGCCAGATGATCATCATGGCCATAGCTGCATAAAACAGGAGTAGCTCTACTGTGGAGGAGGTGATGGGGTAACAATGCAAGCTAACATAGAACGTTTCACTAAGAACTCTCTGCAAATGAAGTATGTCCTCCTTAAGGTAACTTCCACTAGACTGCAGTAGCTCCTGGTCAGTATGGGTTGCTATTGATCCTGGTTGCTAATCAGCCACAGTGATTTTGGAAAAAAAACAAAATAGGAAAGAAAATCCATATGGCTGTTTCCAGCAGGAGGGAGCTCTTCTTTCTTATAGAACCCCCTTACAAATACTGGTAAGAAAATAACTATTATCCCACCACTTAAGAAAAATTATGTGACAGAGATTTATGATTTGCCAAAGCTCATCATATAAAGAAAGGAATGCAAGAACAGGAAACTTGTTTTTTGTTGTGCTGGATGTGGTAGGACTTATTTTCAAAACAGAACTGAAATACTTGAGAAAAATCTTTTTTTGAAGCCTTCTTTCTCAAACAGATCAGTTCACAATCTCCTCTTCAGAGTAAAAGATCTGATATCAGGAGATGACAATAATGCAAAAAAGAATTAAAAGTTTAGATGCAAAAAATACCCACTTTAAGCCTGGAGTAAAATAAATTACCTGTAGGAGCTGTCAAACGTAGGTGTAGTAGACAGCAATATCTCACCTTTTCATTAAGCTGAGGGTGTTTCAGTAGGAGATAAAAGTGCAATACTCTGCCATCTGGAAAAACAAAAAAAAAAGGAAGAAAAAAAGCTCAAGAATAACTCAGGATTTACAGCTCTAGGACAACATAAGTCAATTGTGTTTCAAAAACAATATGCCAGAAGCAATGATCATACAATATGTTGCATTTTCAAGCCAGCTGCAACCTTGTCAGCTAATGCACAGAGCAAAGCTGACATCCTCTCCAAAAAATGCCATCTGCCCAGAAGTAGGAGGCATCTACTAAGAAACTGAAGTGTTTAAACAGTCTTGTAATATAAGAAAACACAAACTAACTCAAAGTAAGTCCCTAAAATAACAGCATTAGTACTACGTGATCAACTACACAATCTCTCTGCAAGATGTAAAAATATTAGTGTTGAGATTTTTCTACAAGCATTGAAAATATACCCAATCTTTTGGCTTCAGTAGGTTGGCTAGGAAAAAACAGCAACAGTAAACCACACAACACCCCAAATCACAGTTCTGAAGAACTGTGCTACCTTTTATCTCCCAATTCAACAATTCAAGAAGCTGAAGCCATCTGACTGATGTGACAGGACATCAAAGCCCAGCTTGCCCTGAAAGAATTATGTTCATAGACATACATTACATAATGTTCTCCATTTTAAGCAGAGGAAATTTGGAACAGATGAAGATTTAAGGGCCCTTTTTGAAACCATATTGATAGTTCTCACTTATCAGTAAAGACTGATAAATGAAACCATTCGGTGCATTCCCTTGGTGTCAGAGAAAACCTCTAGACTAACAGGAATAAGTTTTGCCACTTTACTTACACTAGAGTTAACTATTATTTATTTGTATTTTGACACATTGTAGAAACACCAAAGGAAAGTTCAGAGCTATGTTGGTGCAAACTCACCAACACCCCCCCCCAAACAGCCATAAAGATCTTGTGAAAGTGCTAAATGGTGCCTAAGAAGAGTTTGATGTAGGTGTACCAAGGTCGCAGCAAGAGACCAAGGATTGATATGTTTTTCTGCCATTTTCAAAATACAGGGCATGAATGCTCTACTCCAAAACTATATTACAGTTTGGACAGCTCGGTTTGGTTTATTTTTCAAGTTCGGTGGGTTACTGTTGCCCAATGTGGATTTAAATAGCTTACTAACAGCCCCAAAGCAAATCCTTTGCCAGGATAGCTTATTTGCGTGGAAAATCATTTTAAGACACACCAGGAAAACAGCTGTTCAGTCAGTACAAGCATCATTTCCGCTAGAGGACTCTCTGGGTTAACTATCCCACCCTTCAGCTGAAGAGCAGGCAGAACTATGACCTCTTCTACACAGGAGAGGATTTGCCTTGGCCACAGCTTACTTAGAGATTGAAATCGAAGATCAAAGTATCATCAGGAGACAGAACAACTCAACTTCACAGAGCTAATGGCATTAATCATTTCACAGACTACTCTCATGAAATGGTGGTTAAATCATAAACACTAATACAAATCTGTCGTTCTTCCTCCTTCCCCTCTGGTCTGACCACTCGGACGTCCAATACGGTTTATTTTTATTATTTTAGCTCACCTAACAGTTCTGAATGAATCCTCTCCAGGCTGGGAGCTCTGCTTACACTCATGGGAGATCACCCGCCTACGGAAGCGGGTTTTCCCAGGCAGCTTTGGACGAGGCAGCCGGCTCAGTGTGTGCGCCGGCAGGGCACCCCTCGCAGGGCAGCGGGGAGAAGGGACTTCTCGTTGTTAAGGGGTTTTTTAGAGTGAGAAAAGGAGCTGAGCCCGCGGAGTACCTCAGAAAGGCCGCCTTCCCTCAGCACTCCCGGCCGGGGACCGCCACTTCTGCCCCTCGCCTCAGCACCGCCCCAGCCCTGAGGCGGCCCCACGGTTCCCAGCCCAGCTCCCCAGTCCTCCCGCCTGCAGCAGGCCAGACAGCTCTCTACCTCAGAAGGCTCCGGGGCGAGGGGAGGCGCGAGCCCCCTGTCCCCACAGAGCGGTAACGGCGGCACCCGCCTCCCAGGCTCGGGCGCTCTTTCCCCCGCAGCGATGCCGTCTCGGGCACGGCGAGGTCCGGGGCGCCCCGGCGGCAGCCCCGCGAAGACGGGAAGGAGGAGAGCAGATGGGGAGGCCTGAGGCGGCCGCGGCCCCCCGCTTCACCCGCCACCCTCACGGGAGCCCCATGCCTGCTGCTGGCTTCTCCGATTGGCTGCAGGTGTTCCTCTACTACTTCCTGGAACGCTTTTAATTGGCTGAGATACTTCTACTCCGCAGGTAAAAGTTCCCGGCCTATGATTGGTAGTGAGTAGGAGGGATCTTTTGGGGGATTGGCTCCAGGTGTGTTGGAGCTTGCTATTGGCTGACAGGTAGTGTAGGAGTGGTTCTATTGGCTGTGGGCGCTAGCCTTCTTAGTCCGCCATGTTCGGCGCGGTGGCGCCGTTGCTAGGATTACCGGGCTGAGCGGGGCGTTGAAGCGGGCCCCGGCTGAGGGGGCTCCGGTGGCTGCGCCCACGTTACCGCTCTCCTTGCCGCACGCCGCCGCCGTTCTTCGGCGGGGACCCACGGGCGGGGAGCCAGAGTCCGTTCCTAAACTTCTTCGCGGGACTTTGAGCAACTTCAGACCGCGGAAAGTGCAGCCCGGCACCGCTGAGGCGCGGGCCCGAGCTGTGGCGTGGCACCTCTCCCGGTCGGAGCAGGTAGGGAGGGGCAGCCCCGGAGGCCCTGTAGGCTTGAAGCCGCTTTCCCGCGTTGTGTTCAGTCCCTGTCGCCTCCAGGCTCGGGCTCGGCGGGCGCTGAGGCGGCCCCGGTGTCGGGCGGTGGGGACTGGCGGGTTCCTTCGATTCCTTCGGGAGAGGAGAGGGCTGGGAGCGGAACTCTGCAGTCTCCTGGTACCCGTGGCTCTGCTTCCCCAGGCAGCGGGGCTGGGGCGCTCCCTGTGTGTGTGTGCTACGAGTACATGGGAAGGTGGAGGTAATTTTCAATAAACAGAGCGTTTGTCAGTCTTCAGTCATAAAGGCAATTTAAATTGTCCCTTGGAGTTCTGATTTTCTTGGGTGAATTTGTAACCAACATCAATTGATAGCAGTCTTCCATTTATATAAGAACTATTCTGCGTTAACGTGCTCTACTCTTTGAAAGAAAAAAGCAAGAAGCTGTGTTGATGAATAAGTAAAGATTTCTTCAGGGTGTTTTTAGCCAAGAGGGAACTGCTGGGTGTTTTATTAAAAAAAAAAAAAATCCTTGAATGCTTGGGCTATTTCTGTAAAACTGAATTGTACAGAATATTTTTAACTGATTTAATTTCTGTGCAGGTTAATGGTCTTGTATATTTCTCTTTCAGTTTCTCACTGTTCTATGTAGAGTTATTTGTGTTTATAAAATTTGACAACTCATTTGTTCAGTAGTGTCTGTATATTCATCTCTTCTGGTTTTCTTTCTGTGCAGATGGATTGAAAATCATCTGGAGAAGAAGCACACATTTTGCATGTGAAGCTGTTTGCTTCAGAATTAAATGAATTCTATGTCTTGAGTGAACACATTTCTACATAATTTCATTTAGACCACTAAATACAGACCATGCCTAGCAGAATGGGCTCAAAAATGGATTTGAACAAAGACTTCATCAGAGTGAAAACACACTATAGCGGGTAAGTCATCATGCTCTCTCCTCTATATTGTGTCCTGTCTAATTTTGAAGCATGAAGTTTGTAGTCTGATCTAGTGATACAGTAACCAGGGCATTGGTGGATTTGTAGTTATATCAGGTGAGTAAACTTCTGGGCTAATAAAATACCATGCAGCCTCCTGCAGTGTGCTGACTGTGGAAGAGAGTTGGTTATTTATCCTTCTGTCAAAGGAGGGGAGAGGATCTGCGAAACTGACATATTGTTATTCTGGGTTTATGGATTATTGATTTCTGTTTTATGATCATGGGCATGTTTAGACCCATTTCTTGCATTTAGATGCAGTTATTATATTTTGTCATATCTTCTTTATAATAAACATATGATAGATCTTAAAAGTCACTGCCAAAATTAGCAGGAGACAATGAAGTATAGGTTTCCACTCAGAGTTGTCAGTTTGACTGTACTCATTGAGATGAAATATGATTAGTATGAGTCCTTTTCTAGTGGGCATTTTTGACATGATTTTAACTTACAGCAGTTTCTGTTGTGGAAAACTAGTTTTTTCTTTATGGAGAGATATGTAAGTCTTGACATAAGTGGATGCCATTGGTTTTGTCCTTTTTTGTTTGTCTTGGAGAAATTTTAGAAGGAGTTATTATTGGCATTACTTAGTTATGTATGAGGGATGAGGGAATTTTGCTTAGATCACAAGTAAACTGCCTTATGAACTCTGTCTGAAAGACTCGTACCATACATTTGCATTACTAATAATAATTTTCTGCTCTGTAGTTTTATCCTACACCTCTGAATCAGGTCATACAGTTGCAAAGAACATCTGAACTTTAAATGCTTTAAGTGATGCACTTCTCTGAGGTGCATGGTTATGCATGCTTCTCTGAAACAGCATTAGGGGCTGAGCCCTGTAAGGGAAGGTGCTATAAACACAAGTAGAACTTTGTGTAAACAATTTGGGGTAGCTTGCTGGCAGGTAGTGTTGCTCTAAAGTGAAAAGAGTAGGTTGCAGCCCAGAAAGCCAACTATATACTGTGCTGCATCAAATGAATGTGACTAGCAAGTCAAAGGAGGTGATCCTGTCCCTCTACTCTGCTCTTGTGAGACCCCACTTGCAGCACTGTGTGCAGTTCTGGTGTCCTCAACATAGAAGGACATGGAGCTGTTGGAGCAAGTCCAGAGGAGGCCATGAGGATGATAGGGGGCTGAAGCACCTCCTGTATGAAAACAGGCTGAGAAAGTTGGGGCAGGTTCTCAGCCTGGAGAAGAGAAGCTATGCAGAGACCTCAGAGCCACTTTCTAATGTCTGAAGGGGGCTACAGGGATGCTGGACAAGGGAATCTTCATCAGGGACTTTAGCAAAGGGACAAGGGGTAATGGGTTCAAACTGAAACAAGGGAAATTCAGGTTAGATATAAGGAAGAAGTTCTTTACTGTGGGGGTGGTGAGGTGCTGGCACAGGCTGTCCAAAGAAGTGGTAAATGCTTCATCCCTGGCAGTGTTCAAGGCCAGGCTGGACAGAGCCTTGGACAACGTGGTGTAGTGTGAAGTGCCCCTGCCCATGTCAGGGGGGTTAGAACCGGGTGATCTTAAGGTCTTTTCCAGCTCAAACTATTCTATCATTTTGTAGAACTTTTCTGTGCAGAACTGGAGTAGGTGATAATACTTGTGTCACTATTAGAATTCATGTGTAATTATTATAATGTTCTACAAGAAACTGCTACTGTAGTATTGTAGAGGAGAAACTACTACTACTAGAGGAGAAACTACTACTACTACTGTAGTTTCTCCTCCAACACTATGCTTAGTAATTTCCATTAGCTATGAAGTCTGTAATATGGCAATTTACAAAACAAGAGTTCCAAGTCACTGAGTTTTGGGGTTTGTTCTACTGATCAAATTCTGCGAGTAAGAGCTGATTATTTTTGGTATTATAGCCTGTATAACAGATTATCTTAATATCTCCATTAAATTACTGTACTCATCTCTTGAACAAATTTGATGAACTGCAGGAAATCATTGATGCTTGACAACTTCAGAATTAAGAACAAGCTCATTCAGGTAGCTGCTAAAATATTAAAGTAATAGCACAATATACGTTTTGAAATCCTGGTTAAGAATTTAAGCATGAGGAAATTCTAAACCATGTGAATGTTGAATCTGTCTGGAGTCCTAGTATCTTAGGTATTCATGTTTCTGGGTGTGACAGAGTTCCTAACATAGCATAGTATAAATAACTGCCTAAGTAGATTGCAAAAGACAGTAAACTTGCGTAATTCTCATTTCATTATTTCAGTTTAGTTTATCTGATTTATAGCTGGTTACTTGAAATCACTTTATTTAAATAGAGTAGTGATGCAGTATGGTTTGCTCTGTTACCTTGGTTCTAAATGGTGACACATTTAATTGGTTTCATACAATTAATCTCCTGCTTTAACTGCTTGTCCATAACTTGATGGTCATTAGTTCTTCAGATTACTCTGTAGAATCTGGTTTCAGATACCTGACAAAAAAAATGTCCTGTGAGATTCTATAGTGTTAAATGACAAATGACTTTGATTTATCTGTGCCCCGATTGCCTAATGTGACTATACAGGCATTAAGGTTAAACACAGTGTATCTCAAAGGCACATGGACATCATGGAGATAACAGTTTGAATAAATATAATTAGTGATTGCATTTGCAAAAGCTGATTGGTATTTGTAGTGTGCATAGTAAAATATTGTCTTACTGCGTATTTTTAGTGTTTGAGTAGTGTTTATGTACTTGAAAAAGCATGATTGTCCAGAGCTACCACAGAGCTATAGCTGCTCGGTCTCGTGACTAGTTTGAGGTGGCAGCGTATGAATTGAGCTGCATTTGTTAGTGGCCTTCTCTTGGCATAAGGCATTGCACCAGGTCTCAAACACTGCTTTGAGAACTGGTTTGATCTCTTACTTTTATAAGTGCTTAAAATATGACTCTTTTGATGGGGATATAGTCTTAAGTTTAACCTCAGTTGACGGCTCTCACTATTGTACAGTAATGAAGATATACAAGTTGGCAGTTAGCATACATACTACTTTTTCCATTATTATGCAGAATTAAGTTGCTGTTCTTTGAGAAGTTTACAAATTGTAGATTAAAGATATACTTGAAAAGGTAGAAGTGCTTTTAATCTGAATTTGAACCTCAGTATAGTTCTTAAATGATTGTGTTAGAGCTTTGTTTCTTATAATTTTTCTCAGCAAAGACAAAATAAAAAGTTTTTGTGCGTATAATTTAAAATGTGAGCTGTAGAGCCAAAGATCCTCAGTTCAGTGTAGCACCTTTAGGCTTCAGGTTGAAAAATATAAGTAGGTAAAGTATGTAATATAGCACATATTCTAAAATAGTAAAATAGAAAATAGGAGAAGGTTTAGTTTGCATTCTCAGGTTTTGTTTTGCAAAATCTTTTTTTGTATTTTATTTTTTTAAATCTTTCTCCTGCTTTAACAGTACTGTGTGTCATTTCATATGAGGAATGCTGGTTCTGTAGCATGATTTTGCAGCCTGGCATCCATAGGTGGAATTACTGGAATATGCAGGCTAATGCAGATATTTTCTGATAAAAGCTTATGTTTTCATCTTGTGCAGGGACATCCTGATAACAAACTTGGATGTATCAATGAGCTATGATGAACTTTGTGATGAAGTACATGAGATGTGTAATTTACAGCAGGAACAGCCAATTACCCTCAAGTGGATTGATGATGAAGGTATTGTATTGAAATACTACTTAAACATTCTTGAGTTTATTTTTCATTGTGGTACTAAGAAGGGCATTGAGGAAACTTGTTTATACAAGTTTCATACTGTGGAGTTACTTTTCATTTCTAAATACCAGTGTATGTCTTACAAAGCAGGGAGTTTGGAGAAATGAGCCTCAAAACATGAATGATGGCAGGAGCACTTGAATTCACTTCTGTAGAAGTAAAGGCTATGTAAAACTTTGATTTTACTATACCATACTTCTGTACTGAACACAGAGTTTTAATTTCAGATTTTCATGAGCCTAATGCTGTACCCCTCAAAATTCCTAACTTCAAATTCTTGGCCACAACACTTTGATTTTACCCTGTCAGAATTTGCCTTAAAAAAAAAAAAAAAATAATTAAATGAATCTTTACTTGGTGCTGATGAGTCACGTTTGGTGGGCAGGGTATGCTGCAGGAAGGGTGGGTGTTCCACAAAGCTGCTGGGATGTAGCGTGACCTCCTTGCTTATTTGCTCGCTTTCTGTGTATTGTGATGTACAGGAGTTTACATGTGTCTGCTTAAGTGGATTTGTGGATTAATTACCTAGTTTTAACCAAAATAACCCTGCAAGGTAGCACTAATAATGTGAGCAGAGTCAGACAACAAGGAAATCATGGAGCTGACAGTTCTCCTTCCTACTTGGAAGCATGAACTCCTGTCAGCCACAGGACAGATGGAAAGCAATGGCCATCGAATTGGGTGTGGCAAGAAGTCAATCAAGAAGATTAAAAATTATCAAGAAAAGTATTTGAAATATGTGTTTACATCCACTATTTTAATGATGAACCTCACCCCTAGTATGTGTTGAGATAATAGGTAATGCAAGAGCACCTGATTGATGTCAGTGAAGGTGAAAATTTGCTCACTGAATGCCAACTAAGTCTTTGCATAAATGGTGATTGGGATTCAGTAATGAGTATTAGGATCTGGTAAGCACAGCCAAGGATGCACTTCTTCCGTTCAGGTCTGTGTATCTTTATGGTATCTTTTTTTTTCTTTAGCTATGACACCACTAAAATTGAAATAAACTGAGCTTAGAACTAGACCTTTGACTCATTATATCAATGTTAAACCTAGATTGTCAAAAGTTATGAAGCAAGTTTAATCATATAGCTCTTTAAAATATTTTCATATTTAATACTTTGAGGTACATCTTTGTGCCATTGAAAAATAATTTTTAATATTTATTCCTTTAAAGATTTCTGTATTTGTGTATTTTTTTATCATGCACATAATTTGCATAGTAAGGATTTGTGCTTGTCCTGGGTTCAGCAGTAGCAGTCATGTTTCTCCTCCTTGGTAGCTGGTGCAGTGCAGTGTTTTGACTTTCAGCTCGGGAACAGAGCTAATAGCGATGTTTTGGTTTGGCCAAGGACTTTGTGAGCCTCATGCTCTGCCAGGGAGGAGGGGAAGCTAGGAGGAAGCAGAGACAGGACACCTGACCCAAACTGACCAAAGAGCTATTCCATACCACAGCACGTCATGCCCAGGATGTAACTGGGAGTTAGCCGGAAGGGCTGGGGAGACTGCAGGGTTGGAGGAGGTATCGGTCGGAGCTTGGTCGGGCTTGGGGGGCGAGTTATCGGTCAGCGGGTGGTGAGGTGTTGTATTCTCTTCCCTTGTTATTTCCTTTATCATTATTATCATTGGTGGTAGCAGTAGTGGTTTGTGTTATACCTTAGTTACTAAACTGTTCTTATCTCAACCCGTGGGAGTTGCATTCTTTTGATTCTCCTCTCCGTCCCTCCGAGAGCAGGGGGAGGGCAAGAAAGGGGGGGAAGTGAGCGAACGAATTACCTGACTGGGTTTAAACCACGACAGTGCTCTAAAAATTTAGTGATGGAGTGTGCTGCCAAAGAAGTTTGGAGAATGCTGATCTAGTCTATCATGGGCTGTTAAAACAGTATTTGTGCCTACAAAGAGGTATCATCTTTCAGTTCAGATGTCCTCACTTAAACTGATCAGGATTTATACCTTGAAAAGGTCATCTCCTGGCATATAGGATTTGGTAATATGTGATTTAAGAATAATTATGTCTCTATGTGTGTTGGCATATTTGTGTCCCATCCATAACTTTCACCTGTATCTTTTTTGATACTTCTTAATTGTAGGTTGCTTTCTGTCAGTCTGGCAAGTGGTTCAACTAGAATCTCTGTATATTCACTTTTCTGTTTTGTTGTCCCCTTGCAAGTCAACACAGTATATTTCTAGCTACACAGTTTCCATAAAAGTAGAAGAGGAAAAAAAAAACCCAGTGTTGATATATTTTGGCTTTGATCAAAATACCAGTTTTATATCAAATGATTGCTAGAAGAGCAATCCTGGAGGCTGGTGTGTTTCTTACTAACTGAAATTTTCTAATTCTTCAGTCGTAAGTTTGTCTGTGTTGCTTTTTTTTCAGGTGACCCATGTACCATCTCATCTCAGATGGAGCTAGAAGAAGCATTCCGTTTGTATTGTCAGAACAGAGATGAAGGGCTGATTATTCATGGCAAGTATTCCACAGTTCAAGAACCTGTATGCATTTGTTGGTAATTACAAATGCTTCTCAATATGACATTGGACAACTCTTTTGCCTGTTGAATACATTCTTAATGTAGCTGGTGCACTGGAATTTAATGCTGTAAGAAGAAAGTGTTCTTTTGGGTGTGGAGCCCAAGCTGAAACTGTTCAGTAGACTTTGAGGCAGGCTGGGGTTCTAAACTGCACAGGTTTGGCAATGCTATAGTCAAGCACAAGATCTTGCCATTATGGAGCCAAATTTTGGTTATGTCATTTCTCATGCAGAATTGTTTGAAGGTTTCCTGAAACTGTCTTTGTGTAAATATATTTAAGAATCAAGGAATAAGTATTACTGAGAATACGTTAACTTAAAAATCTATTTTTTTTTGTTTCAGTTTTCCCAAGTATTCCAGAGAAACCTGGCATGCCTTGTCCAGGAGAAGACAGTGAGTACTAAAATGTTACCAAGTTTTAGTTTAATATTTTTCAGTCATACAAAGAAATGTCTTCAAAGTTTTTTGTAATTTACTGTTACTTTTTTTTGTGGTTTCTTAATAGAATGTAAAATGTTTGTTTTCTCAGCATTATAGTGCTGGTTTAATGTTTCTGATGTTTAATACTGGTTTCCAGTAGCTGGTATATTGGGAGGAAAGACATCAGGAATTTAGATGCACATTAGAATGTGGTCCTTTTCTTTTGTGTTTCTTTTAATTTCTTGTAGGGAAAATAAATGTATATTGAGAAGAAAGATACATCCTTTTTTATGAAAAGGTTATTAATCTCTAAAAAAACCCTGTGAAAAGTAGATAAATCTCCAAAGGAAGGGTACATGATTGATACGAATCCCATTTTGGTGATGATGTTTTGGGATGCTTGGGTAGTTCAGTGTCTTGTGTGCTTTTGACTTTTATGAGAATTACAGTGCTGAATTTAGGGATTAGCTAGCCTTAGAATGCTTGTCGTGCTCTTCCCAGGCAGATTTTGATGCCAAAGCTCAATGGAAGTGTTAATACTCCCATCATAAGTCTTCAGGCTGTTTTCTGTGAAACAGCTGTCTCACAGTGAATTTATTTCAGTGTCTAACTTTGGGGTGCCCCCACTCCTTAATTCTGCTTCTAAGAATGGGGCAACTAAGTCTGCCATCGCTGTAATATTTGGGGCTGTTCCACAGCATGCCAAAACCTATTCTGTTTTCTTCTGATTTGTTGGCTGAAAACTGTAGGGAGTGAGCTCATCTGGGCTGTGTTTTCCCAGTCAAAGAACTTGGAAGAACCAGCTGCCTCTATCTTAGCTTCTATTCCTGTAGCTGTTGAAAGGGGCAAAGGAGGAAATGCTTGTGTTGTACAAACCTAGACTGGTGCTAGTCCCAAGTAAGCTTATTTGTGACAACACAGAAACTAATGTGAAATACTGTCAAGAAATGTAAGTGGAGGAGAGAGAAGACTGTTGCTCAGTAGGGTATCTGTGCAAGTAATGTGGCATAATAAAGTTCACTGCAATTTAATGATCTCATTAAAAGTGTAGATGTTTTAGTACAAAAGTTTGTTAATTTGTTGGCGTGTTAGGTATTTAAAGCCACAAGATGAACTACAGATCCACACAGATTAGTGTGGCTCGGGTGACCTGGTTTTTCTGTCTGTGGGGTATTTCTCCTTGTGCGGTTTTACAGGTCATGTTGAATCATACTTTGGTGGCTTAAAAAGCCTGTTTTGTAGGATGTGCTTGGTGAATGATTTGTGGTCAGGTTTCTCATAATTTAATGAATAAATTCAGTGCACATTGCTGCTGCATCCAAGGGGCCTGTGTGGAAATCTGGTGGTGTGGCCTACTTGTAACTATTTTCAAATTGGTTTACAACAGGCCTATTAAATTGTATTGATGCTAATTTAGCATAAACTGATGCATGCAGTGGTGTTGCTTGTTAGCTAGAGGCGTACAACAAACATCTGCATTGCTTTCAGGCTGTGTGGAAGTGTTATTGAGATTGGTGATACAGTTCATTTAAAGCATTATTTATTTTGACAGGTCTAAAATATTGTCATTTGTTCAGAAAATATTTGGTATGTTTCAAATTATTTATTTATTTAATGAGGCTTTATTGCCATAGTTAAGTTCATAGGAAATCCTCTTAAAAAATTAGAATGTTCCATATGTTCCTTTCTGTAGCGTTGTGTTTACGTATAAAAGAGCTGATGAATTTGCCTTGGGTAATTTCCAGAGGCAGATATGCAATTAAGTAGTTGCTCTGCCCAAAATGGCCTTCTACTTAAATTAGCAGTCTCAAAGTGTGGACTTCTGGTTCATAATGGAACTGCAGCCAGTTTGAAATGGGATTTTTTCAACAACTGTATTCAATTGATAAGCAATTTTGCTTGCAATATATCACTTGTTCTATTAGGTCATAGTGATTATTTCAAATAGTATGTGATCTTCTGAGTTACAAATATATTTTTGTGGTGAACTTCTGGAGAATTGTGGGGTTTTCTTTCCAGTTCCTTCAGAACAACGATGCTTTGGAAGCAGAGTGCAGAAATACATACAGACTGTTCCACATATATGTTGAAATCTAATTATACAGTTGCTAGCTGGCCTGGGCTTTTGTGAAATGGATGTGGGTTTGAGATTGTACCAGCCAGCAAAACTTGAAATAAATGCAAGTAATCTGTTAACAGAATTAATCCATGTGACTAATATTGCAATTCTATTTGAATGCCTTAAGAAAAGTTCTTTTTGTGCTTGAAGAACTCATATTGATGTGATGCTGTTTGCAAGATTGAATTTGGAGTCTCCAGTATATGAATCCATGTTGTCTCTGTGTTCTTTTGCTCCTGAATTTTGGCACCTTTTATTTTTTCATGCCAGACCTAGCTTCCAGTCTAAAGGTATGATGTCTTTCCCTTTTCCCTTCAGCCAGCCACTTAACCCATCCCTGCAGGCGCAGGTGGCAGTGGATGAGGTGGCAGGGTTTCTTAACTATCTTGCGTATCTCCCCAGACACTGTGACCTCTCCCGGGTATTTCTAGCATCTGCTGGACTGGAGGTGGTAGTTGATCACAGTGTGTCCTGATAAAGATGGCAGAGTTCTAGGCCAGTCTTCTGCATTTAAAAATATTTTAACTTTTTTAGTAGATTAGCTATTCTTTTGGGATTGATACTAAGGCTTTTGGAATTGTTTAGGTTTTTATTTCCTTTCCATGCTCATAAGCGATGCCTTCCTGATAGCCTGATACAAAGCATGGGATCTGATTGGCAGTTCAGAAGTTATTGTAGTCTCAGCTTACTTACACTGACAGATCTTGCTCTGATTTATCACTCCTGCTGCTTCAGTGCATTGTATAGTGAAGCATGTTCAGCTGAACAATTCCAATTGATTTGGAAGACTTCCTTAATGAAATTGCTGGTTTTCGCAGAGAAATACTTGGTTTTGTGACATCAGCTCCTTGACATCCATGCCATGTTTTAGTTTGTGCCTCAGCTGCTAGCTACAGCCTCTCAAGGGAGCCAGTACCACCCGTGCCTGGATACATGAGGCAGAGATGTGAAAGGGAGAGACGGGGGTAACCAGTCTTCCATTAAATATTTGCTCTTAATGTTGGAGCTGATCCTGCCTATTGTCCTTGGTATCTAATGGCATTCAAACAGAGGCATCCGTGAAATAAAGGGGGAAAGTGTTTCATTTCATACCTACTACGTTGTAAAGCATAAAGAATTACATGCTGAAGAAGCTAAAGAATAAACCCCAGTGAGTAATGCATGCTTTTTCTATAGATTTTATGTATCATCGTGATTGCTGCTATGAATCGAGGCCGTTGATGCAGTGTGTGTGTACGTGTGGTGCAGTAGATAATAGAACTCAGCATTCTGGTTATGATACAGTTGCTTTGCCAACCACCCTCCTTTGCAGCCATAGATTGTTACAAATGCAGAGATTCCTGCTCCTCGTGTGTAGGGATGTGGCTGAGAGACCTCTCAGAAATGCTGATAAAATTGCATTGAAAGGACTCTTGGGGGATATATTTTAGGAGGAAAAGAGCAGAAGAGTGAGTGATGCTGCTGCTGCTGCTAATATTGGAAATTAAGGGAAGAAATGTATCCAAAAACCCCTGACGGTATGTGTGCAGGGCCTGTTTATTGTAAGATCGCTGATGTAAAGATTAACGTTTTAGCAGCATCATTTTCCAGGGCCTTTTTGTTGAATTGTGTTTAGTGGATTGTCTGAGATAGAGGTGTGTTAATTCTGAAATACTTGTTTTGAATTAGTGTTTACTTAGTTTATTCTGACAGTACTAGGAACTGTGCTAGTACACTTCATTTTTATATCAGAACAAATAGGTGTGTGTATTTAATGTTAAATTTTGTCTTGCATTTGGGTAGCTAGTGCTAAGAAATTTTAGGGTTGTTTTTGCTATCTCCTTCATTAAATAAAAAAATGAAGACTAGGAAACCTTTAATTTCACCGAATGTTTTTAATGTATAAGTACTTATGGCATTAGTATGACAGTAATGTTTTTTTCTTATCTAATATTTCTGACTGATTTGCTGCCTTATTTTTTGGTAATGATTACACTGTGTTGTTAATGTCTCTTATACTCTTTGTTTATCTGTCCAGTGTTTCAGCATTAGGTGTTTGAGGCTTCATTTTTCCGCAAGCCATCTTTCTTAAAAAGTCATCATAGGGTTGAGTAAAGGTATCTTACTAACCTAATTATTGTTGTGAGCAGTTTTACTCTAGGTATGGATACTTGATTTTGCTTTATGTTCTGCCTGATTCTCTAAAATAGCTCCAGAAGGCTTCTTGCTACAACAGTGTGGTCTGTAAATATTTTTCTAGCTCATAGGGCAGGTTTTTTCCCCCCCTTAATTTGTTACTGTACTGGCAGCAGTGATTAGGTTATTCAGAGCACGTGAACCAATTTCATCCCCCAATGAAGAAACGAACTATTGCGACCATAGAAACTATTCTGCAGACATAGATTGGATTGCACTGGATAATTAGGCAATTTTGAAACTGGTAGTAACCCTCTCCTGGTTTCTAGTAATTGAACTGACAGAGGGGGAAAATTCTTCTGTTTAAGATATATTGTTGCTCAGAAATTGAAAATAGCTGTGTCATAGTTTCTTAAGAGTACCTGAAATACCTTCCTCTGTCTTAACTGTGGATCATGTTTCTTCACATGTGGCATATTTGAAAAACAGACATACAGATTATGAGACAGTGCAAGTTACTGACACCAGAATTGTAGCTAAAGGTCTGTTCTGTTTATAATTATTTTTTTTAAATTCTGCAATAATGTCAACATTTTTCTTAGCTACGAAACATTCAATGAAGAATAAAGTGCTGGGCTTCTTTTTTGATAATTGAGGCATGAAATTACAAAGCACGCATCTGGCTGTGGGGTTTGGTATCTGCTCTTATTTTAGGATACTGGATGTCCTAGTAGATATT